TCTTCCCTGGCAAGACTCCAAGAACCACTTTCAACACAAGAGCAAACAAACGTCCCACGCATCAGGGCCAGCCCCCATTGCGGGCATCTGCCCCAGGCCCCACCTGCCTGTGAGCTAAGACCCCTCCCCACCCCTTGCTCTCTTCCCTCTCCCTCAGCCCCTGGTCCTCTGAGAGCACATCTGACCAGGACCCCAGTCCCCTGGGTTTCTTTTGTCTCTCCTGAGTTCTGCCCTTCCCGCCCTGACCGACCTTGAACCTCAGCTTTTCACAACCAAATCACCCATCAGGATGATCTGCTGAATAAAAGCCAGTTTTCCTCCTAAGAGGACCTCTGTTCACGGGTTTAACGTAACATTTTTCTGCTGCATGTGGAGGTGCATGACCGTAATCCCAGCACTCGGGAGGCTGAGGTAGGAGGACAGAGAGTTTGAGGCCAGCCTGGGCCACAAAGTGAGACCCTGTCTCAAAGAGGGCTGGAGACACAAGAGAGAGAGGCAGGTGCTGTCCACACCTGTAACAACCTTGTGTCCCTCCCCTCCTGAGCTCCAGCTCAGCCTTGACAGCTCAGCCTTGTCACGTGCTTCTCTGGTGACATCTGACAGGCTTGCTGCAAAACGCCACACACAGCAGCATCCTGGTGGACTTGGGGCACACACTCTCTACCCATGCTCAGCGAGTCAACACAGGTTCTCCCATGTGCACGCACACGCACACACACACGCACACACACGCACACACGCACACACACACGCACACGCGCACACACACACACACACACACACACACACACACTCCCTGTTAATTCTCTCCTTTGATCACAGCCTCTGGTCTGTCATCACCACTCATGTTGACAAAGCAAAATAAAAAACAAAAAGAAAGAAATCCACCCTGTCACTTGGACCCCCCCAGCCCTTGCCAGGCTTGGCAGCCCCCACCCCACCCCCGCCTTTGTATTATGGATTTATGTCAAGGTATGTTGGATTCTAAATTAAATGTCAGCCCACTGTACATTTCTGGCTCCAGCCGCAGAAAATGAGGAGCTAGCGCTGGAGACTATCCAGTTCTTCAGCTCCCGTGCCTAACCGTGAGGGGTGACAAGCGTTGAATCACGGCACGGTGCCTTCCCATGCCATGGGAAGCCAAGATAAATTTATTTTTAATGATAAATGTGACTGTCAGAGTTAAGTTGAGACAGCTTTACAGAGAGAGTTGAGTGCCCTTGGCATGGCAAGGCAGAGGTGGGTGGACGAGGGCCAGAGGTCCCGACCTCCTGGGTAGCCAGCCTCCAGGCCCCGAGAGACTGGCACATTTGACATTCTGCCCACGTTGGCTGAGTCCCTGCTGCATGCCAGCTCAGCAGCGTGTGCTGGGTGGCTCCGGCCCAGCTTTGGCTGACCAAGAGGCACTGAGGCATTTGAGAAAGAGATGGGCTCTGGCAGTGATGACCAGGGTTCAAGTTCTGGCCTTGCCACTGGCTGTGTGACCTTGATGAAGTCACGTAACCTCTAGGAGCTTCAGTTTCCTTATCTTTAAAATGGACAGATTAACAACACGCATGGGTCTTTAGTGAGTATAGCATGGAAAAAGGTAATATTGCTAATGAATGGTGTCCGGCACATGGAAAGTGTTTGCTGAGTGGCAAATCGATATTAAATGTATTATTTTATTAATAGAACTATCACCCAAGTTAAGTAACTTACCTTTCTGAGTCTGTGTCCTTGTCCATAAGATGCTCCCACTTATTAGGGTGGCTGGGAGGATGCAAGATGCCAGCACAGACTGAGCATAAGGGTGAGACTCCACAGACAGCAGCTAGTCCAGGGCTGGCACCCTGAATGTTGTCACCCGATGTCCTCAGCCACTCTTCCTTATATCTTCCTTGGCTGGCTTCATTCTGTCCCTCCTATGTTGGCGTGCACTACACCCTCCCTGCTAAGGAAAGTTCTCAGTGGCAGGCCTCGGGAGCCACGCCCTCCCTCTGGACCACTGGGTCCTGACAAGGACATCTGCCTTTGGCCAGCCAATGATCTATGATTGATGTGTCCTGGCTCAAAAGGAAGAGCAGAACAATTGCTGCCCCTCTCCCTGGAATTTCAACTAAAAACCCAGACTGGAGTTGCCTGTTGGTGGAGTTATCACAGGCTGCTGGGCATGGAAAGGAAAAACAGGAATTGGTGAGCCAGACGGGAGTGGCAGCCACAGGTCAAATCCCTTGTGTTCACGGGTCCTAGGTTCCTCCTTCCCTGGCTCCTGAACTGGAGTGCTTCCTCTCGGGCTGGCTAGAACGGCCAGTATGCTGAGCCTGGCTGGGCTGGTCCCTGTGTTCTGTGACCATCAGCCTTGTTAAAGGGCTGTCTGTGGGGTCAGCTGCCCTTTTTGGCTCTCAGAGCACTTGGATGCCCAAGTGCATCAGGTGAGCGAGGAACGTAAAGTGCTAAGCAGACTTATCTTCTGGGGTCTCGAGCAGAGGCGTTGGCACAGAACCAGGTGGGGCGAGGCCTGTCCCCTAGCACACCTTTTGCACTCCTGCGAGGCAGGAGAGCTGAGAACCCCACTGCGCAGCAGGTGCAATGATCTGCTAGCAAACACTGCCAGGAGGAGCCGCTAGGTGGCTCCTGCTCACCTGTGCAATCGCCCTTCTGCAGGCCTGGGAGCATGCCTCCAGTGTGTGCTCCTGTTTGCACCGGCCCAGCCCGCTGCGGTCTCTCCCACTCTCCAGGAACCCATCCGGAGTGCCTTCTTCCCCATCCTCTGGATACCCCCATCCTCCTCGCGATACTTTTCCCGACTGCCCAGTGCACACCTCAGGACCTCCTCCATCGTCTTTAGCACCTCCCTCAGATTGGCAGTTCAGGGTCTCCCCAGGGCAGAGACTCCTTTTGTCTGTGCACAGACTTCCCAAGGGGGGATGTTTTCCTCCCCCAGAACTGTGGAATCAATCACAGACTTTCATCCCTTCTACACCACGCCCGCTTCCTGTGCAGGGGCCTGAGAACCACACAGCTCCCAGATTCCTCCTTCAGTGGACTGGGTCACAGCGAGAAAGTTTGAGCCTTTCCCTGTCAGCTGCTTTGGTACTCTGTCTCCCAAGACCCCCCCGAAGAAGGAGCTGTTGACACTTTGCCATGCATAGGGAAACTGAGGCTCAGAGAGACACAGTTCTTTGACACAAATCACAGAACCACCACATCCTTGTGACCATGCCTGAGGGCCCTCTAGGTCATCTGCAGACCTCCTTAGTTGATAGGAAAAAAGCCCAGGGAACAGGTGTCACCAAGAAAGAGCTGGACTAGAACTGGAACCCTGTCTCTGAACTCTCTGCCAGTGCTAGGAGTAACCTGGGCAGCCTCCAGGTGGGGGCAGCTAGGCTGGGGCTGCAAGTGAGGAAGGACATTGTAGACACACAGCTGGGTGACAGCTGAGGAGGCTCGGATGCCCTGGGGCTCTCAGAGGCAAGGCAACTCTACCCAGGATAGGTAAGCCCACCCCCCACCCACCCCTCCCGGGTAGCCTGCCCCACTCCTGAGGGACTTCGAGAGAGGGACAAAGAGAGGGACAGAGATAGGACGACAGACTGGCAGCCGGTGGGAGAGAGACGAAGACAGCGCCAGGGAACATCTTGGCGGGCCAAGGCGCCCCAGGAGCCGGAAAACAGCTTTGGGGAGTAGCGGGGGGCGCGGGGAACGGGGACGTCTATCTGGAGCTGGGGGGAGCCTAAGACCAGGCGGCCGCAGACGGGCGCGGGGGAGGGGCGCGGCGGGCGTGTGGGAGCCACCCGGTCAGAAGCCACAATAGCAGCTCGTTAACCGCGCAGATTAAGGACTTTGTCAATTACCTCCGAAGGCTGCTCGGGCGGATTAAATGCTTTTAAAAGTGTCGCCCGTGGGAGGGGGCGACTAAGAAGCCCCCTCCCGACTCAAATCCCTCCTCTCGGAGCAGAGGAGGAGGCGGGGGCTGAGACCGCGCGGGGCGCGCCTGGGGAGCGCGGCGATCGGCCGGGAGCGCGGGAGAGCGCGGGGCGGCTCGTATCCGCAACCGCGGCTCGGGCGGCTGTCGCACCCGCGGGGACCCCATTTCTGCCCACGGGCCTCCTGACCAGGGAGGCGTCGGGCCCGCTGTCGGTCCGGGAGCTCCGGGACACGGGAGTGCGGACGCAGCCGGGGCGTGCCCAGGGGCGCCTGGAGAGTCGGGGTCCGGAGCTGGAGGTCCCAGGGTCTGGAGGCTACGCGGCTGGGTGCACTTGACCCAGCACCCGCACCTGGATCTCGGAGCCCCGCAGGGGGCGCAACCAACCCCTGCCGGGCCCTTTTCTCGGGCTGAGCCCTGCGCTCAGAGCCGGCTCCCGGGAGACTCCCGACCACACTGCGGGGGCGCCCTCGGGGCTCTCCCGGCGCCGCGCCCCGCGCACGGTGAGTTGGTGCGAGTCCCGCCCGGGAGGAAGTTTGTGCCGGGCGCCGCCGGGGTCCTCAGGCCCCTCGTGGAGCCCGCAAGAGCCCAGCCGCCCGAGCCGGTTGGCTGCCCTTCCCGACCGCCCGGGGTTCGGGGCCGCGTCTGCTTGCCTGGGCCACCCGGTCCTCTTTGGAGGTGGAGTTAACTATCTAAGCCCGCGGCGTGCTCGCGTGTCGTGGCCGGGAGGCCGAGGGGAGCAATAAACGGCAAAGAGTCCGAGACAAAAAGACGCGGAGATTGAGACGCGGGAGGGAGGCGGGAGGGAGAGGAGCGCGCAGGGAGGCGCGGGAGCGGGGAGCGGGGACGGCGCGCAGCGCGAACGGCGGGCGGGCGGGCGCCGGCGGCTCTCGCGCTCCCGCTCGGCTCTCACCCGCACACACCCGCGCGCCCACCGGGGCTCACACTCCTGCACACGTCCGCCCGCTCCCGGGTGCCCGGGCGATCGGCCCCGAGGCGGGGACCTGCGGGCAGAGCGCGCCCGAGCCCGCGCCCACCTCGCCGCCTTTGCGCTCCGCAGCGGCGCGCCTCACCCGGCGCCCCCGCCAGTCCTGCCGGAAGATGGTCAACGACCGGTGGAAGACCATGGGCGGCGCTTCCCAACTTGAGGACCGGCCGCGCGACAAGCCGCAGGTACACACGGGCGGGCGCGGGGACACGGGTCCCCCCCGGCTGGGGAAGCGGTGTCCGCTCAGGCCGGCGCGGCTGGCGCCTAGTGCGGGGGCTGGAGTTTGGGGAGCGCTCCTGCGGCGCTCCGGAGCCTCGGGGCGGGAGCTCTCCTTTCCTCCTCCAGCAGCGAGGATTTGAACTCGGGGTTCGGATGGGGGCGGCGCCCCTGCAGCAGCCACGCGCGCTGCGGCCAGGTCGCCCAGCCCCTAGCGGAGACCCTGGCGCTCGCGTGTGTAGCGGGAGTAGGTGACCTATAGTTCCCTGCGTGACGAGTCCTTTAGTTTGCTCTATGTGACCACCGACAAATGACCCCGCGCTGATTCTCGTTTCCTTACCTCTCTGATATGCATCCTTGCCACTTTGAAGTTCTGCTCTCAGGTTGCCACTGGTGCAGGCACCTGGCACGTCAATCTGAGCTCCAGGACCAGGACATAACCCCCTTGGGTCACCTCTGAATCTTTCCTCTTTAGCTAGGACCCTGTATACAGTAGGGGACCAATAAATATTCATCTGTAAGACTGCTGGGCTTTGTGACACTCCGACTTTAAGACAAGGAAAGCAAGGCTCAGAGAGGGCCAGCTCCAGCCTGAGGCCACTCAGTCTGGAGGGATTTGAACCCTGGTCTGTGTGCTCTAGGGCTGGTCTCTGCAGGGGCAGTGGGGGGAGGGGGAGTGGGGGTGGCTTGGAGGGTGCCCAGAGCTGTGCACTGCACCTGGCTGACCAGCGAGGGGCTGGAGTCCAGCCGTTGAAGCAGTGGACCAGCCGCGGGGCTGCCCCTGGCCGGGTTGCCAAGGGACTGGGACAGGCAGGCGAGAGGGGGAGGCTGTTCGCCATGGAGAGGAGATAATGGGGCTGCTCGTTTTAAATTTTAAATTTCTCCAAGACAGATGTCACCAGGGAAGGAACAGTTGAGTTTGCAACCGCGGAGGGGGGCGGTGGCTGGGGTGGGTCTTGGCTACCCCTCACTCTCTGGAGCAGCAGCCTGCTCTCTTTCTGGAGTGACACTGGCATGTCCTGGGGGCCCAGCTCTATGGTTTGCAAAGCCTTTGCCCATTCACCAGCAGTACTGCACTCCCCAGGCAGTCTGGGGGGGGAGGGGGCAGGCTGGTCAATCACAGATGGAGGATCAGAGAGGTAAAGGAATATCTTGTCACACAGCTTGTTAGCAAGAGAGTGAGAATTCAAAGGTCCCTCTAACCCCAAGCCTCTTCCATTGCCTCCCAGGGGTGGTCAGTCCCCCTTCGTAGATCAGATTTTCACCAAGCTTTCTCCAGCTAATGGGGCCCTTCCAGATGAGGTCTGACCTCCTCCCCCTTAAAAGAGTGGTCCTTACTTCTGGATTTCTCCAGGGCCATCCCCAGCTTGATCCAATGTCCCCACCAGCCCCTTACAGATACTGACTGCTGTCACTTACCAACCCTGGGCCCCACCCCACTTATAGATCTTTGCTTTCTAATTTAGTTGGCCCTACCAGCTCCTCCTCCACACACACACACCCTCTTCATGCCTTACATAGTCTTCACACTCTATGTAGTCTTCAAAATGCAATTCAAAGAAGCCACCTCCTCCAAGAAGCCTTCCTTGATGCCTGGTGCTCCTGTCTGTAAGTCCTGGCAGTGTTTTCAGCCTGCGCCACTTGGTGTCTTTTTCTTGCTGCCTTGTCCCCTGGCTCTAAGATCGTCCACCGTCCACCGTCCAGAGCTCCTCTTGCCACAAATTCCTTCAGGTCCTTCTCCCTGCCCAGGGGTCTTAGGTTGGAAGCTGAGAGGCATTTGCTGAATTCAGTTGCTCCAGCTTAGCCAGAAGGAGCCTCGAGAGAGGAGCCAGCAAGCACTGCTGTCTCAAGGAGAGGAGGCTTCTGGGGGATCTGTTTGAAATTGGGCTTGGAGAAGAGGTACCCTGGGCCAGGCCCAGTCTCCCCTGGGGCCCAGCAGCTCACCAGCCAGAGGCCAGCTGTCTGCCTGGGGCATGGGAGAGGCTTAGGGCCTTGGCTCCAGGGGCCAATGTCAGACATCCCTTCCCTCCTTTTATGGAGACCCAGCACATGTCGGACTGTGCTCTGTGAGAGGAGGGCAATGCTTGATTGAAACTTCAGACAGGAAGCCAGGCCTTTCTTGTGTCCACTGTCAAAAGAGAGGGAGAGTCCTGCACACCCCGGTTCCCTTGGGGCCTGCCCTCTCTCAGAGCTCCAGCCTTCTCTCCTCCCTTGCCTTTAGTTTCATCTTGGTCACTAACATGCTGTGTGACTCTGGGTAAGTCACTCCTCCTCTCTGGGCCTGACCTGTCTCATCTGTAAAATGGGAACGGCCATCTCTGCTTCCTCCTCACTTCACATGGGCTGTTGTGGGGGTCAGGTCAACTACTGGTGTGTTTGCAAACTGTGAACACTGTGCACTCATGAGGAGGCTAGTTCTCAAGGCAACCTGTCCCCTTTTGCAGCTGTCCACCTTGGCGGAGGGTCCTGAATGGGACACTTCCTCCAGGAGAATCCACAAACAGTGGGGCTCATCCCCACATCTCTCATTTCTCAGTTGCACCAACCTGGGAGGCTGGCATGTGTGACAGATGTGTGACAACTGAGGGCTGAGAGCACTGGAGTGGGACCCAAACCTGAGTGGTTCCCTCCTCCCCCACCCCCAGCCCAAGCAGATGAGGCTCTGGGAAGATGGAGGAAGGGACTATGGACCTTTCCTGGGCCCTTGCTCAGCCTGAATTACGTGATCCGCAAGGCCAAGACTCTAACATTGGGTGGTGGCTCGCTCCCCTCCATGAGGGCCTGTGTCCATGTGTGGCCGTCCCTGGGAGCCACCGTGGGCCTGCTCTGACTGGGCTCTGTCCTGGTGCCATTTGGCCTCTGCTTCTCATTTGCTGGGTGACCTTGGGACAGTTGTTAGTGTGCCCTCCCTTGCTCAAAGAAGGGACTCCTGTGCCCTCGGAGAAGGGAGACGGGGACTTGAGTTCGCCAGGAGCACATCAAAGGCTCTGGAAATGGACATGGTTCTTCCAGTCCTGGAGTGCGGGAGGAAGGCGCCCTGTAACCCCCTCCTCTGGAGCGGGGTGAACCTTGCTGCCCACGCCACCCCGCAGCCACGTCGACCTGTAACCCATCCCAGGCGGTCTCTTGATGTTGTCAAAAAAACATTCCAAGAAGAAAGAAAAAAGTCCTCATTGGGAAGTTTTGGCTGATGTCTAACTTTAATTCCTGCTGCATTTAATTTACTCAGTAACTACAGAAATCCCACTTGGTGCCGGGAGATGCAGCCTGTGCCTCAGGGACTTAGTGTCTGTTGTGCACAACCCAAAAAGTCAAAGGTCGCCTCAAACCTTGGTGGGTGTGCTACAGGAAGAGCTATATGTCTCCTTCCTTTTCCTGGATTCAGAGCAAGGTCACTTCATCAGGTATGAGGTGGGGGAGAAGAAGAGGGAAACGAGGGAGAAGGAGGCCCCCAGGCTCCCCTGTTCTGCCTCTTCTGAGTCCCTGCTCCATGCAGCCCATAGCATGGCCCCATGCCATGCTTACCAGAGGCTCGTGGGCCAGACAGAGGTGACAGAAAAGATTCCTGGTGGAGGTGACTTTGAAACTGAGGGGCGAGGTGCAGGTGGAGACCCTGAGGAGGAAGCAGCAGGCACCAGGTGTGTGCTCTTGGACTGGCAAGAACTGAGCTCCCAGACCCTGGGCGAGCAGGACCAACAGGACCTCTCTGAGGCCTAGGTGACCCTGGGAGCGTCAGGGGGACAGTGTCCTATCTGCTGGGCTTTCAGGAGTGCAGGAATGTGTGGGATGGGCCAGGAGGCAGCAGGGGGCTGGCAGGGGTGTGGCCAGTGATTTCCTGGCAGTGTTGGGCCCTGGCTAGTGTTGGGGCTGGGGAGTGGGGACAGAGGGCAGGGGTAGTCAGAGGAGGGGGCATGTACATAGCTGGGTGTTGGGGTGAGGGAGCGGAGCCCGGGGAGGGGCCTGCTTTGGAGTGGCAGTTGGTGGGACTGGCCTGTCCCCAGGTTTGGAGTGGAGAGCCTGCCTTGAGCCCCAGTGGGCCATCTGCAGGCCTGGACTGGGGGCAAGGCCAAGACCCTTGTAGGAAACGAAAGTCCAGGGAGCCATGCTGGCAACTCGCCTGCCCTCTTAGTCCCTTGGACGCCTCCAGCCGCTCCCCTAGACCCTCTGAGGAAGCTTCTGATGGCCTCAGCCTGGGCTCCATGGCCAGGGCCTCAGTGGCAGGGGGCTTGCGGTCTGAACTCACAAGACAAGCCTGCACACCCTTTTGCAGGTCTTTGGGACCCCAGAACTGGGACAGAGCTGCCAGTCCTTCACCCCAGGGGGTCTCTGAGGCCCCTCTGCCAAGGCCAGGCCTCAGAGTTCAGCCCAGGTGGGAGCAGCTGTGGGCGTCTGGGGGAGCATGAGAAGCAGGGGTGCCGGGTGGGGGCAGGCACAGGTTCAGAGTGCAGTCCGAGTGTACCCAGAATGCTGTCCTGATTTTCCCTGCGCAGAGCCCATGTCACGCTTTCCGCGTGATGAGCGAGGGAACAAGAGTGGCTCACCCCTGGCTCTCACCTTGCCTGCCCCTGCTGGAGGGAGGCTTTCTTCTTCAGAGTACCATCTGAGGAGGTGGGCTGGCCGTCTGTCCAGAGGAAACCAAGGAGGAAGGGGAGCATGGGGAGGGGCAGGCTTTGCAGAGCACCTGGCACTGAATCCTCCTCCAGATCCCCAAGGCACTTCTTGCGTTCGGTGACTCTGAGGAAGCAGCCTGGGGACCTCCTGCCTCCCTTCCAGCATAGCCCATCTTGTCATCCTGTCGGCCAGGGCTTTTTAGGCAGCTGCTGACCCTGGGCTAGCAATGGTGGGGAGCACGGGAGGGGGTCACACAGGGAGTGAAGCTATATCCCTTGAGCTGGGAGCTCATATGGGCGATTAGTGGCAAGCCTCGAACCCAGATCTCCTGGCTCCTCTTAGGCCCACCACCTGTGATGCGCACAGAGGGGGCTCTGTGCGCATCCTCTCCTGCTGCAGAGCTGGGTGCCCTCCGCCCTGCCCGGCCAAAGGCGGATGAATAAGCAGCGCCCGAGCCCTCTGATTATCTGGGGTAGATTTCTTTTCGAGGCACGTAAACGACAGCCTATAAACTCGAACAGTACTTCATCTTCAAGGGTGATCTCCGAAGACTAATTCTCCTCTGCCGAGTGCCCTGCTTCACGGCCAAAGCTCCCATGGTCCCCTGACTCTGGGGGACCCCACAGCTTCCAGCCTCTCCTTCCTCTGTGCCCTCCGTCTCCTACTCCCCCAGGGAGGGCTTGCTTAGGAGGAGGGTGCTGGGGTACAGGGGGCCCAGCAGGGAGATGGCAGCCTTTCTGCCGAGCCAGCCTAGCCTCGTCAGCTTAACTCTGCAGTCTGAGGATGCAGCTAGTAGCTGCTTGGGGCAAGGTGTCTCTGGATGGAGTCAGAGCGGGTGTGACAGGGACTTAGTTGCTGACACAGAGCTTTGTTTCAAGCCCCAGCAGAGGCAGAGGAGGGGGCAATGGAGGATGCACCCTTGACTCGGTAGCCTCCAGCCCTATTCCCAGGTGCTGCCTCTGCTGCCTGTCCCCCATGTGACTTTGGGCTCAGGTCTTTGCTCTCTAAGCCTCTGTTTCCCCATCTGGAAAGTGAGTTCATCCAGAGCATACTCACAGGGGTTATGTGGAGATTTCATGGTGGCCATGACACCGTTCCTGCCTGCCTGAAAACTCCTGGCCCACTGTGCACTTGGGACAGCCTGGAGGTCACCTTCATTCTGTGCCACTGCATCAGAGATGGGCACAGAGGTAGCCCTCCCTTGGGGTCCAGGGCCCAGTGGGGAGGTCATGAACCTCTGCCCTGCCAAGCCCTGTGGGCCCCAGGGACACCAGCATCACTCTAGCCCTTCTGTTCTTCCTGCCTCTGGCTGGCTGGCTGTCCGTCCATTCAACAACCAGCCATCAGGACTGCTCTGTGCCAGGTGGTAAGCAGGTCTCTTCCCATGACCTGTGATTCAACAGCCCCCACGTCCCCAGAAGTCGTGTCCACAGCTTTCATCAGATTCCCAAAGGGATTCATGTCCTCAAAGAGGTTAAGAACAGGACATGAGCACCCACAGAGCAGGGCTGGGGTCTGGCTTCTCTTGTGACACTTCCTTGTCATTATGAGACTATCTGTCATCATGGGTGAGCATGGAGGAACCCTGCAGGCTGAGGGGAGGGGCAGGAAGTAGTCAGGGAGGGCTTCCTGGAGGAAGCCTTTACCTGGAGAGGCTGTACCTTTCCCTACCCCCTACTCAAGAGCTAAGCAGGAGATTGGGAGTTATCAGTGGCATTTGAACTTAAAGAAACTGTTTGCGCCGCTGTGTTTTCTTAGTGAGACTCAATGGATGTTTTACATATCACTAGGAAGAAAGCAAGCTGTCAATTAGGACTGCGAGATGCCCCTGGTGTCCAGTGTGAGAAAAAGAGAAGGTGCCTCTCGGGATCCAGGACTCAGAAATAGTGCTGTGGGTAGAAAATAAAAACTACCACCAGATGCTCTGTGCACATTGGTCATGAGATAATAAAAGCCGCTAATATTTATTACAGAAGTACGACGCGCCAGGCACAGCTCCAAGTGTTTTAAGATCCTAACTCATTTAAGAGCCATCTCAAGTTCAGAAAGTTGAAAATGTGTATCTTAAAGTTGAAGAGATTTGGTTGTAGAAGGTGCCTTGTCCCAGAGGGAAGCAGGAGGCTCCAGATCCAATCTGAGCTTTATCTAATTTGCTGCGTGACTTTGGGCAAACCCATTGCCCTCTCTGGGCCTCAGTTTTCCCATGTGTAAAATGCTCGGTGGTTGTGAATGATTTGGTCCAGTGAATCTGAGCCCCCAAGACCTCCTTTCCTCGCGAACTGCTCTTTGGCTCCTGCTTCTTTGTTATCTGTCAGGCTCGCTCTCCGATGGCCCAGCTCTTAGACCTGTTCTTACTGCGCCTGCGTGGCCTCCTGTCATTCTTGCTTTGAGTCATCACCTGTCATGGAACCAGACATTGCGTTGGCCCTATTCATGTTAGAGGGAGGGGGACCCCTTCTCCAGGTGGCCTCGGGGCTGCTGTTTGTCCTGCCAGAGGCCTTCTCTGGGAAAAGGCGAGGGAGGAGAGAGGGGAGGGAGCAGGAGGCAGTGCCAGCCCCTGAGGCCTCGGGACTGAAGAACAGCCAGCGTGGAGCAGGCGGACTCCACACATGCGTGTGGAACTCAGGGTGAGGAGGAACCCTCGGTCACAGCACGGCTGTTTTTAGCACCATCTTACAGCCCTGTCTTCCTGAGTCTACCTGGGAGGTCCCCAGGCAGGCATAGAGGGATGGGTGTCATCATTGCCCCCATTTTACAGGTGAGGAGACCAAGGCCCAGGAAGGTGAGGTCCGTCACCAGAATCCTGCTGTTAGGATGGCTGCCCTGGGGCCGGGGGCCAGGGCCTGAGCCCTCGCTGGGCTGGGAAGGGCTCTGTGGGGGCCATGTGACTGCTGTGCAAGTGGCATTTGTCCTGCCAGTGTCCTGCTCTGGGAAGAGGGTGAGGGAGGAGAGAGGAAAGGGGGAGACCAAGGGTCACTGTGCTCGCACTGTGCAGAACAGCGGGCAGCCTGCTCCTTTGGTCCCCCATCAGGCTTCCATCTGTCCATCTCCGTCTCCTTCTCTCTCTCTCTCTTCTGGGTCTCTCTGCCTCTGGTCCCCAGCTCTCTCCGTGTTTCTCCCTGCATTTCGTGTTCCCCCAAGCCTCACAGGGCAGAGTGGGAGGCCCAGGTTGGCCTCTAACATTTGCCCTCCTCTCTCCTGTCTGTCTGTCCATCTGTGTCCATGCATCCCGGGCTGCCCCATAGCGGCCGAGCTGCAGCTACGTGCTGTGCACTGTGCTGCTGTCCCTGGCTGTGCTGCTGGCTGTGGCTGTCACCGGGGCCGTGCTCTTCCTGAACCACACCCACACACCAGGTACGGCGCCCCCACCTATCGTCAGCACCGGCCCAGCAGGGGCCAACAGCGCCCTGGTCACTGTAGAGAGGGCCGACAGCTCGCGCCTCAGTATCCTTATCGACCCACGCTGCCCCGACCTTGCTGACAGCTTTGCCCGCCTGGAGGGCGCACAGGCCTCCGTGCTGCGGGCGCTGACCGAGCATCAGGCCCAGCCGAGGCTGGCGGGCAACCCGGAGCAGGAGCTGCTGGACACGCTGGCTGACCAGTTGCCCCGGCTGTTGGCCCGGGCCTCGGAGCTGCAGGCAGAGTGCACAGGACTGCGCAAGGCGCACAGCGCGCTGGGCCAGGGACTTGGCGCCCTGCAGAGCGAGCAGCGCCATCTCATCCAGGTAAGGAGGGGTATCCGTGCCATGGAGTCTTATGCTAGGTGTCTGATGGACATAGCCTCAATTTCTTAAGTGTCCCAGCCAGGGTTTGTTGCTGCTGCCATCTGTAAAGGAGCCATGAGGCTCAGAGAGGTGAAGTCTCTCATCCACGGCCACCCAACTCCTGGGAGCCAGGATGCACAGGCCATGGGTCGATGTCCAGGCAGAACCTTGGCCTGTCCCCATCCCCTTCCCTGTCCCTTCTCTGCCCCCGAGCCAGCCGGGTTCCAGTAACAGCTAGGTGAGCTTGGGTGAGGTTTCCACTGTCTGCTCTGACACCTGCCTGAGCACCAGCTACAAGTCCCTCCCCCCCTCCCCCAGGGATTCAGGCCCTGAAAGATGTCCTGGTTATGCAGCCAGGTCAAGCCTAGAGTTCAGTCCTCCCTTGGCCCTGCCCAGCCTGCAGCCCTGCACCAAGGCTCCCCTTGCTTGCCTCAGGGACTGGAGCCAGCCCCTGCCTCTGCCAGTAGCCTCAGCCCCTTCCACCCAACCCGTGTCCACCCAGCATGACTGGGCATTGGTCACCCAGCTTCTTATGAGCCTCTCCCCTCCTTCTGAAGGCTGCAGCTGGTGAAATTATAGTCAGTCCCCCAGGTGGGGGGGATGTTTAGTCAGCTTGCTGCTGCCCCTCCCCCTGCAACATCCTCAGGCCTAGCTTGTCAGCAGGCGCTGGTGACCATCTCACCCTTCAGCTCCTGGTCAGTTAAGGCCCGGCCTTAACAAATGCTCCTTCTTAGAGCTGGGGTGCTGGGAGGGGCCTCGGAGCCCCCCACACTCCGTGAGATGTTCCTGAAAGATGGATAACATGTCTGGAACCTTAAGCACCGTGGCTCACTTGGCGTGTTCACCTTTCAGCACATGCCTGGGTTGATGTGTGCCCACTGACTCCGTATGCTTCCAGAGGCTGTGTGTCTTCGTGCCTTTCACGGAGGCAGCCAGCCATGGCTCCTGACAATCACCCCCAGCTTCCCTATCCTTGACTGGCAGCACAGAGCTGCCTTTCTCAAAGCCATGCCCACGGCTGGGAATCACTTTTTAGAGGCAGGGTGCTGGCCTCATTCCCAGTGCTGAGCCAGGGGCAGTCTCTGCTCCACTGCCTAAGGCCACTGGCCCAGGGCAAGCTGAGTGTCTCTGCCCTGTAGGTTGGAGTCAGCAGCTCTGGGGTCCTGCCCAGGTTCCATCGGAACCAGCAGGGGGACCTTGGGCAGGTCACATCCCCTCTGTAGATGGGGTCTTCTCACCTGTAATGTGGGATGACACAGGCCATGCCCAAGCATGTTGGGCTCCTGACCTCTGCAGGGTTCAGCCAGCCTCTAACATGTGGCCCATTGTTTGCCCAGCTATGACTTGAAATTGACACCTACAGGGGCCACGATGGAAACTCTTTTTAAATAGGAGTGATGGGCCCACACTGTGCTAATGACCGCCCTCAGCCCATAATCCTAAGGAGGGGCCCATTCTTACCTCTCTGGAGGGGCAGACTGAGGCTCAGGCCTTGTGGAAGCTTGGTCACGGAGCTGAGATGCCTCGGAGCTGCAGCTCCGATTTCTCAGCTCTGGAAGCTGCCAGCTTCTCCCCTGCTGATCTGCACGGCTGTGTGAGCAGGGACGGACTCCCCATTAATTTGGGGCAGTTCTATAGGTACATTTTCAACTGTAATCATTTGCCGGTTTAAACCGAGGACCTCCTTGCCTGTTAGCGAGAGGGAGGGGTCATGTCTGAGCTACTCCAGCGTGTCACGGGCCACAGTGACTCAGAAGGATGAGGCATATAAGCGCCATTTATCAGGTGGTCTTTACTGCCCCTGCCCTAGGGTTGCCTGTGTCCCCTTGTGGGGCTGGATGGAGCCCATCCACAGGTCACTGCAGCAAAGTGTGCGGTCCCTGCCGACCTCGGCTGCCCTCCCTTGGCCCAGCCCCGCTGAATCATCTGCCCAGCGGAGGGGAAACTGATGGGCACTGGGGCCGTGCTGGGCCCTGCCTCCGGACGAGCATAGAATCACATTTTGTAAACTGCCTGTGCGTCAGGCCTGTCTCTCTCTTCCTCCCTCCAATGGGTGATTATCTGGCGAGTGACAGGTTCGGTGTGTAAAACCCAGCTTGCTCCATGTCCCTGCCTCCCCTTCCACATTGTCCCACAGCCTCCTGGAGCACAGTGTGGGGAGGCAGGAGACCCCAGTCTCCCGAGAACTCTACCCCCAGCTAGAAACAACTCTGTCCTGCTAAGCTCCAACCCTGGGACAGTGATGGAGGGAAGGGCAGGGGTAACAGTAACATCTGGCCCAGCCCAGGTAACTCTGAACCCCACCTCCAGAGACACTGGTCCCCTCATCCTGGTCTACAGATGGGAGAGGTTCACTCTCTCTTCCAGGGTCACACAGCTAATGACTGGGGCAGGGGATTGGTACTAAACCCCCAGACAGTCAGCACCAAGACCTTGCTCACATCCCACTGAGCTTGCTGTGCGGTGCTGAAGCCCTTTTCCTGCCAGTCAGCCCTGGGGAATGGCCTGAGTCCCGGTCCCCATGCCTGCTCACTAACAGGACAGCTCCTTCTAGCCTCAGTTTCTCCATGGGTAACAAGGAAATGACAACCTCAAGTCCTAGCTCTTTGTAGCCCTGGGGGGGAGTCCTTGAGGTCGTGGACATCAGACAACCATGGACGCTCACAGCAACGTTCACACATTTGTGGGGCGCATGGGAAGTAGGGTTTTCTTGTTCCTGGGCCCAGCTGTAGCCTGCCGCTCTGTGCCTGGGGCATTGTGTCCTCCTCCCAGTCTGGAGGCCCCTCCGTCAAGTGCACAGGGACCAGCTCACCTTGGCAACCTTGCTTGGAATTCAGAAGTGGCAGCAGTTGGGATGTTTGTGGCTTTGCACACATGTGTAGTCACTCATCCCCACCAGGGGATGAGCAGGGAGGAGATGTTAGTCCCTATTCTCAGATAAGAGCCGAGCTTGGTCAGCTCTTCCCACAGCCAGGGAACTGACTAGTAGATGAGCCAGGGCTGGCCACAGGCTTGCCTGATTCTGGGCCTGCCTCTACCTGTATGGTCACTCTCACCTGGGCTGGACAGACAGAAAGGGCCAAAAAATAAGAGTCTGGGGCAGCAGGTCCTGCTAGAGCCATCCTGTCCCCTCCCTTCTGGGCCTCTGCCCTCTGAGCGAGACCAGTGTGGTCCGCCAGAACTCAACTGACCATCAGACTATGTTGGATAGGGACCAGGGGCCAGAGCAGGGCTGGGGTGGCCATGGGGCCAGGAACCCAGTCAAGGGAGGGCCCTTCCTGGTAGGGACAGACTGTGTACCCCTGTGAAACACCAGAGACCCTGCTCCACTAACGATCCCTTGTACTCTGCAGCTCCTCTCTGAGAGCCAAGGCCACATGGCTCACCTGGTGAACTCTGTCAGTGACATACTGGATGCTCTGCAGAGGGACCGGGGTCTAGGCCGGCCCCGTGTCAAGGCCGACCTTCAGAGAGCGCCTTCCAGGGGAGCCCGACCCCGAGGCTGTGCCAATGGTGAGTGGGGTGAGGCCCACTTTACCCAGGTGATTGGGGGCTCAGCCCCAGGGATCGGGGAGAGTTGGGGTGAGGGTTACTGCATGAGACACCGGGGGCTCTATACTGCTTCCATGGGGCCCGTGCTCTGTCCTGCACCTTTCCCCACCTGTCCTGAGACTCTGGTGGACAAGGACGCACTGCTGTTGTCCTGCACCCTCGCATTGGGCCCTCCTCAGCCCCATTTCCAGCTGAGGAAAGGGGAGCTCAGGGCAGGGTAGGAAGAAGAAGTGATTCACCCAAGTCTGACCCCAAGGCCTATGCTCTTGACCCCATGTGGACAGACAAGTCAGAGAGACTCATGGGCAGTTTTGGAGGGTGCGGTGACGGGAATACAGGTGGTGGTGGTGTCCTCACTGTCGCAGGCTCTCGGCCCCGGGACTGTCTGGACGTCCTTTTGAATGGGCAGCAGGATGATGGCGTCTACTCGGTCTTCCCCACCCACTACCCTGCTGGCTTCCAGGTCTACTGCGACATGCGCACCGATGGCGGCGGCTGGACGGTGAGTGTCCGGGCACGTGAGCCACCCACCATCCACCAGGGACGGCCCTGCCAGCCTGAGCTCTGTGCACACCCTAGAAACCTGAGTCAGGAGGACCACAGACACCAGGTGGGAGCCTCCCAAGCCCCCTGCACTGAGCACGTGGAACTGTGGTCTCCGGGATGTGGTGGGAAGCCAGGGCTGGGTCCCTGGATGCAGTGTGGTACCAGGACCTTGTTGCTAGTGTGCGTTCGAGGGCAGTTGTGCGTGGCACCTGAGTTTTGGATTATCCAGTTCATGGTATATCTGTGGAGGAGAAAGATGTGGAAAGCTGAGACCCTGGTAAGGGGCTGTCTGATCCCTGGTTCCTGCATGGTTCCGTGTTTGATCAGTGGCCCACCCAATCAGGGGCAGGGGTGGGACAGCTGCAGGTGCTCTGACATTCCCTGGAGCTGGGAGAGGGGGTGGAGGGGTGGGCAGAGGCTCTGGTTCAAAAACCCCAAGGCATCTCTAGATCAGCCTCAGGGAACTCCATTCAGAGCAGGATGTGGCCAGACAGAAAATGCAGGCTTGCGCCCATGTAGACCCTGGGCAGCCTCTGGGACACCCACTCAGCGTGGCCGGTAGGGAAAGGAGAAGAAAAGGCAACAGCACGGGTGAGGGTGGCTTCGTTCCAATAACACGACTTGTAGACACGGAAATTTCAGTTTTGTAAAATGTTCACGTGTTCTTTTTAAAATATTATTCTGAGGACATGTTAATTTTTTTAAACCATTTAAAAAGTTCAAACCAGCTCGTGTGCTGTACAGAAACAGGCAGCAGGCAGGAACCGTCCTTGGGGCCTCAGTTTCCTGATCCCCTCCTAGAGCTAGGGACCACTGACAGTGGGAAATAGGGACCCACCGAGTTGGTGGGCTGTGACCCTCAGATGGGACTTGAGTTTGCGCCTTTGTGATGCTAGTGGACATTGTGTGATTTTGTGCAAACGTTAAGAATGTACAAACCCTTGTGTAGGAGGTGATGACGCCTTGCTCTGTTGGCTAGGTGCCCTTGAGCAGTGAGCAACCTGTACCACTGTCCCTGTGTGTCACCCTGAAAACCACTCCCCTGAACACAAGCTAACTGTGGTTGGGGTACAAATCCCCAGTGCAAAGCAAGCTCTTTAAGGAGTCTCAGTTTCACATTTAACTGCAATTGGACCGACATTTTTGAGCGCCTATTGAATCCTGCTTACATATGTGGGAAGTTAAGGGGAGGCTCCATCCTGGTCTCCCAAGGAGCTTAGAGTGTGTGGGGAATTGACGTCACTGTGGCAGTGGGGCCCTTCTGATGTGCCTATGGATGTGTGGGGCTTCTGAGCACATTCAGGAAAGAGGGCGAAACCAACAGGGGCCTCGAGTCAGAAAGCAGACGGCACGTTTGGGGCACAGAGTCCGGGGGTATGTGTGGCACATCAAAAGACGAGGCTGGAGTTGTCAGCACCTCCAGCTGTAGGGTTTGAGACAGGCACTGGGGAAAACAGTGGGATAAGAACAGTGATTTGGGAGCCATCTGACTGTGTCCTTGGGCAGAGGTGGCATTTCACACATTCGGTTGGCAGGCCTGTGGTGCAGCCCTTCCACCAGGAAAGGAACCCTAACATCTCACTTGGGCTCCATTATCTATAGACAGAGTTGGGTATGGCTCTGAGTCTTGCTGTGTGACCTTGCACAGATCACTTAAACTCTCTAAGCCTCAGTTTCTTCCACCATCACTTAGCACTCTTAAAGGAAAACACCCGAAAGTGGTTGGAGGCAGAAAAGGAATTTGAGGGAGGGAGATGGAGAGACTGGATAAGCCAGCTTGGGGACACTCACCTGGGGATAGAGTCCCAGGCTAGGCCACCACAAGTGTTGGACACAGTGAGAGCGGGTCAGGGAACTGCACCAAGATGGGTGCAGACCGTGGCAGTCTCCTTCTGCCTTTGGAGGCCCTTCCCTCTGCCCAGCTTCTAGCTGCCCTGCTAGTGGCACAGTCAGTCCGTGCCCCACGCCCCGCAAAAGTGCACAGGAGTAGCAGCTGCTTTTGCAGCCAGGGTGGGGATTGCTAAACCTCAAAAGATGACGCCAACAAGACGCCCCTTCAGTACTTGCTGAGGTGCAGACAGAAGCTTCTGCTACCAAACGCTTCCAGAGAACTGTCTGCTATCCTGAAGCCCATGGATCACGAGTGTTATTATTATTTTTTTATTCTTTACTTATTCTGGGGTTTGAACTCAGGGTCTTGCACTTGCTACACAGGCACTCTACCACTTAAGCCAAGGCTTCAGCCCTTCTTGCTTTAGTTTATCTTTCAAGTGTTTTTGCCTAGTGACAGCTGCAGAACCATGGCACATTG